CAGCACACTTCTCCATGGCAGCCTCCCTGGGTGCCCATCTTGGGCTGGGCAAGACAGTGCCTGCCCTCACACAGCCATGGCCTGAAGGGGGATGGACAGCGACGGCACGGCCCATGAGGTGGCCTGGGGGACCCACTGGGAAGTCCCATCGTCACCCTCCCTGCCCCATCACTGGCCTGGCCGAGGTGTACTCAACACTCAGGGTACACAGGAGCTCTGCTAGTCACCTCACAAACCATTGCACTGCCCCCTACTGGTGGTTGTGTCTACGGCACGGCTGGCTCAACTCATCAAGATTGGCCCAAAGCCCGAAGGTGAGGATACAGACAAACAAGGCATCGAACCCAGACCCACACTCTGGGTCCACTTTGGTAACAGCCGGGCCCCAGGCTGGTTACAGCGTAAATTCAGGGCCGTCTTATGGAGGGAGGGTGGGGGCTCAGCAGAGGGCAGAAAAGTTGAGGGAGACTTCTTCGGGGAGGGGACCATGGGGCTGAGGCTTGAGGGTTAGGGAAATCAGTGTGGGGACAGGGAGACCCCTCACTGGAGAATGCAGAGAGCTACAAAGCATCTTTAAGGGCACGTGAAGGTTCTCACACCAGTGTTCGATCCCCATTCTGCTACCAGCTGTCTGGGTGGCCTGGGACTGCCTGCTTAACTCCTCTGAGTTTCAGTTTCCTCCTCTGTAAAGGTGGACGCAATATTTAGAGCAGACGCGTATTACATGTTCCCTGTCTCTTCATAGCACTGGAGCAGTGAAGAGCGGTTATCCACTGTAGTAACACTGACAAACACAGTCACTCAGCATGGCCTCAGGTCCTCCTTGGGTCCCTCCAACTGGAACTGCCTTGTGCCCAGAGCAGCGAATCAGATTTTTGGCCACTTCAGTAGCGAGTCCTGCCCGCAGTAGCTGGATTCTCCCTCGGGTTAGAGGAGTCACTGGCACCAATGCTCCCGACCTCGGTCCTCTCCAAAGAAACCCAGAGCAAAGTTTGGATAAACCCCAAACTATCCAAGATCGCGTTCCTCACTACCCAACACTCAGGACCCAGTGGATGGGACAGAACAACGTCCCTGCCACCTGAACTCCATGCACTCACCCTGCGGTGAGGAGCTGAATGGTTTCGTGAGACAGGATTTTATTTGACAACACGCTCAGCACAGGTGGGGCTGAGGACCGACTGTCACAGAGCTCGGGGATGTCTGGGACAGGGCCGGGGACTCTCCATTTTGGAGGGGGGAAGAGAAGGAGGGTGGGGAAGTTGCACCACTGTGCAGCCACAATGGCGAGAAAACATTTGTAGGTGCGCAGTCTGTCTGATTCAGAGTTGCCTTGGCTACAGAAGCAGGGCAATAATCAGATTAGAACAGTGTTTTCCATTCTGCTTGCCTGGAGCTTGTGGGTGGCAAAGGTGAGGGAGGGTGCCCGGCTCCCAGCCTCACAGTGCCCTGCGCCAGAGCTACAGCGTTACCCTGAAAAGCCCTTTATCCCGTGCTGCCGGGGGCCCAAACCTTTCCCTGCAGCTGGCACCTGCGCTGGGGTTGCCCTCCTAGGATTAATTAAAAGGACAGGCTTCTTTTCCAAAAAAGCAGAAAAGAAAACTTCTAATGAATTTAAAGAGAGGAAAAAATCCTCATTTAAGCAACATTTTTTCCCCATGATCCCAACCTGAGCGTACAAAGCGGCGCAAAAGCTCACATAAGGGAGAAGCCACGGAGGCCGGCGACTTTTAGACTGACTGCCGTGCGCAGGCAGGAGAGCTGCTCATCTTGCTCGGCAGTGACACTGGAGTGGGTGTCTCCACCATGGCAGGGACAGGAGGCGCTGTTCCTTGTTAGGGAGGCAGGGCAGGCAGGGCGGTGCACAGGCTGAAACGGCACCAGGCCTTTAGTCTCTAGAGTGGCCTTTGGTCTGGGAAGCCCAAAGTGTGTTCAGGTGATAGACGGAAGAGCAGGGCGGCCACCCTCGTATTTTATTCCTGTCCACGGTGTGGAGCCTGGCAATCGGTACTCTTAGCTCTACCTGACAGTCAAAAGCGATGGAACTGTGACTCTCCCTAAGGCACCTGCCTTCCAGCCCTTTTCCTGCAGGGGCCACCTGTCAGTCAGAGCCCAGAAGGAGGCACAGCCCCACTGCGAACCAGCTCAGCCAAGCACAGACAGCACCAGCCTCAGCTTCCTGGCCTTGACCGCAGCTGCAGTTGACGGCAAACACTGGCTCAGCAAAGGCCAGGCCAGCTACAAGGGAAGCCGTGCATCCCGAGGCTCAAAAAGGGACCAATACAAGTCATGTCTGTAGGGAAAACACACCCATCAGCCTTTAGCAGAGCAGCCAAACTTGCTTCCCAAGGATATAGGGCTGGAGTCACCACCCCAGACTTCAACCTTTGTTTCCAAGGATATTGGCAAAAACAGAGACCAGAAAACAAAATTTCAAAGTCCCAACCACTACCAGCCAATCAGTTCCTGTTTTTAAAATCAAATCTAAAATGTTGTGGCTGAGATGTGTGACATATAACTTTCGGGGTTTTAGGTGAGATTTCTTTAATGCACATCAATCGCCGGGTAATAAGTTGTATCTATATGTTTCATTTCAATTACCTATTTAAAATTCAATGAATCATAAATCTTTTCCTACAGCTCTGGGAATTTACAGTGCCTGTGAGTTTGAAAACCCATTGATCCCTCGATGTTCCGAGGGGCTCATGTCAAGCCTTTATAGCTGGGTTAACTCATTTTGTGGCTTCTTTAATGGCTGTGAGTTTACATTTTATTGCATATCTATTATTTGGGTTGGTCTGTGATGAATGGTTTCACTGCCTGGTTCAAAACAAGTCCATGGTGACAGCAGCATCTAATCTGCTTTAAAAATGATGTTTATAAAGATTTTTCAAATAATAATCCAGGAATAAAGGCAGCAGATCCTATCACCCCACATAAGACATAGGGCTGGGGGTGAGGTGTTGATGCACCCCCTCTTCTAGGGTAGTTCCTGTTTGCGATGGCCTTCATTAGAGGGCCCAGGGCCTTGCCTTTCATCTGAGACAGTAGGGTTATTTTTATTTCTTTGAGAGTTAAGCTAAGAGCTTGCTGGGTTGTCCAAGGTTTGTTAGTGGGAATCAAGCCCTTGAGTAGAGGCTGCTGCTACAGGCCTAGGTACAAGGGCTGTGCCCACTGCCAGGCTCTGCTTATGGATGCTGTCATGGGACACATGAGGAGTGATGCCTGGGACATCCCCTAAATTCCTCAAGTCCAGTCCAGGACACTGGCTCTTAATAGGCACTGATTTCCCTCATCACTCCTTTTGCAGAGAGGCTGAACCTGGAAAGCATTTCTGAGAACATTTTAGAGCCATCCCCAGAAAATGTGCCACTGTTTTTCTGACTTGGAGGGCTGCACGGGTGTAGTCTGCCCTTACCACTCTGCTCTGGTCTGTGTTCTATGGGATTAGAGTCATCCAGGAATCTCAGTTTGGGGAGGTGCACAGGGAGAGCAGTGCAGGGAGCAGACGCAGCAGACAGGAGGGTGGGTCTGTCTCTAGAGATAGCCAAGTCAGGGCTTCACAACTCCATCTCTGGAGAAAGAAAAAGCACCCCCCCAACTCTTTGGATGGCATTTGTGTGCTATAGCTTTCTGTGGTGTAAAAACTCCTACCACAATTTAAAACTATGTGTTTTCTTGCAAAATTCCTGGTAAGTGAGTAGTCAGCTCTCCTGAGCCGGGTCTATGGAGCTGCTGATACTTCTAAGCACTCTAAACTTTAGAGATTTATTTACAGGAATAAGCTCCTGGCTATCCTGGTAAGTCTTTGTATGAATGAGTATAACCAGATGGGAGCTTACTAGTGGGCAGGGAGGAGGAGGCTGAAGACCACACATAACCACTGTATATCAAGCAAAGCCCTGTCACTGGCATTCGGTGCCGCCGGCGCTCTGAACTGGGAAGGTCTCCACGCACCCCCATCGAGTACAGGAGCCCTTCCCACTGGAACGAATCTCCCTCACGTCATCCAAGGACCCCTGCTATGTGCCACAACAGCCTGTCTTGACATCAGAACCCGACAACTGCTAACAAAGTCTTCGTGACCGGAACAACAGCAGCTCAGAGACATGGCACTCATGAATGAAACAGGAATACCATTCTGAGAAATGAGACTCCAGCGAAGGGCTGGGGCTGAGGGCGGACAGCGCATTCTGTGGTTCTGGGTACTCGGTGCCCCGTGGGCAGTCATACCCACTTCCCTGGGCACAGCCTGCAGGAAGGGCCAGGAGCATGCAGTCATGTTCAAGGGCACGGCACGGGAGCGAGCACGTGGCCTGCTCTTCGTCTGAAGAGGCTTTACCTATCTGGGCCACACATGTGCCCTGTGCCTCCGTGCTGGGCCCAGTCCTCCCTTGCTGCTAACCTCGGTATGCTGCTCTCACACCTCCTATCATTACTGGTATGATATCACCGGCTCGCAGAGGATCACACTGGGGCAAAGTCAAAGGTCCTTGAGGCATCCTGGTCATCTGGGCAAGAGTACCAGGGGCCACTCAGGACCTGCTCCATATTCTCAAAAGCACCTGCCTTCTGAGTGTCTCCCGGGATCTCCCTGCTCTCTTCAGCTTGGAGCCTCTCTCTCCACTGTTCCTGGGTTAGGGCTACTTCTCCTTGGGCCAAACCTCCAGCAGAGGGCCCAGCTGTGGCCTGAGGACAAAGGAGCCCTAAAATGTGTCCTAGTCATGGGGACACAGAGTGGCCCTCACAGCTACACCGCCACCATAGTCCTGGGACCCTCAAAAAGTGGAAAAAACCTTTATGCAAAAGGAATACGGTGATACTTTCCCTTCTTTTGCACTTTTCTTACAGCTCAGGCTTGCCACAAAACAAGCTCAACTGCTTTAGTCACGAAAAGAAAGCCACCTGGGACGCAGCTGCATACCCTGCTGCGGTATGGGGACCTGGGCAGAAACAAGCCCCTGCGCCCCAGCACCCACGCACGCTGTGGCTCGACTTACGGAAAGCTGTGTAGAACTCGCGTAGAGTCAGGGAGCTGTCACTGTTGTAGTCGTCAAATCGGAGGAGGTCACCTGGCGAGCATCCCTGCAGGTCCCCATCCAGGTCCTGCTCCTTCAGCACGTGCTGCAGGGTGAGGAGGGGAGAAGGCCGGAGCCACATAAGTTCAGTGCCATGGGGATTGCTACAAATGATGCAGGTTGAGAGGGGACCCAAGAGAAGCTTGGGCATCTGGGTTCATCTGAAACTCCTTGTTTGTATTGTCTCCTCCATTCATTTTAGATAGGGAAACTGAGGCTCAGAGAGGGAAGTGACTTCCTTAAGGTCACACAGTGGTTGGGGTAGAGGGTGCATCAGACTTCAGGTCTGGACTGTCCCCATCAGGCCATGTAAGAAGGGAAGACCCTGCGAGAACATCTGGTCTACCCCTTGGTAATGCTGATGGGGACAGAAAGAGAAGCCCCTTCATTGTAGGAATCTGCAGAGTACTCAACCTTAGCATGGGCACCAAGGCCCTCCACCAACCCACGGATCAGAGCTGGTGCTTGAGACTCCCCTGATGCATCTGCCACTTGCCTTGCCCGTGCCCTGGTGACCACCAGAGAGGGCGGCTGCACTCCATCCAGCCAGGGCCACAAAAATGCACTCTTGGGGTTGAGCCACAGGGGCTCCGGTGCGCGCTCGGGTGTTCCTCCATGGTGGGGGTCTGGGCTGCGGGACACAGAGGCCTCCCCTGCATGGCCAGCCAATGGTCAGGGGCAAACGAGGTGGAAATTTCACCTCACTCAGCTGGGCTGGAGGCCAGAGCGCTGGAAAGCAGAAGTCTGGACGGGAAGACGCTCTGAAGAAAATCCCCAAAAAGAGGGAATGATTTTATTTTATTTTGGCAGGGAGAGAAGGGCAGAGGCTTTTTCCTTTTGTTTAACATTCCCACGTTGGCTTGCTATATTAAGGCAATTTAATGTGATAATGTTAAAAAAAAATCACCCCTCACCCAGCAAGTGAGAGCGTTTGATAAAAGGGAGATCAACCATAACACCTGAGGTCAATCTTTCGAAGATGGAAATCTCCCTTTGTCTATTTCTGCATTGGAAATTGATTAACTTTTCATAGGACAATGAGTTTTTCCCTGCTGCCTTTGATTCAGTGTCAAGGAAAGGCTCACGTTAGCTGGGTTCTGCTTGGTGGATTTATGAAATGGACTTTAAATGTATTAAATTTTAAAGAGGAAATCACAGTCCAATTACCATGCTTGTTAATGGCTTAGGGCCATGTCTCTTCCAGGTTCCAAAAACGAATCCAAGAAGGTTCTTGAGCTGGCAGCTACTTAGGAGTGAAGCGGGTGTGGCTGCCTCTGTCGGGAACGCCGGTGTCACCTGTCCTTGGTGCCCTCTGTGCAGCTGTAGTACAGGTGACCACCAGGCGGCCCCTCCCACAGGGAGCCAGAACTCACAGGAGCTTGGCTTTCCCAGGGCAGTGGGGTCACCTGTGGGTCCTGGGCTTGCCCTTGGGGCTTAGCTAGAGCTGGGGACCTAGCACTGATGGAAGTGGGTACACCCTGGTGTTTGTGAGCAGCAGGCCTCATGGGATGGGTGGTTTGCACGGCTGCTCAGGTGTGGGTGAGCAGAGGGATTCCCACTGTGGCCCCTGGAGGTAGGCTTGGGCCTGCCTGCAGCAGAGGCCCTGCAAGAAAGAGTGTGCACTCTTGAACTTCAGACAGTGGCCTCTTACTCAGGGCTGGCAGGTGTCCGGTGTCTCCACAGTCCTTAGGACCACGGGAGCCTTCTTCTATCAGTCTGTCTGAGTTCTAGCCAGTCCTGAGGACAGCTCAGGCAAGTCGTTTGGTTTCTCAGAGCCTCAGTTTCCTCATCTGAAAATATGAAGTGGGCTAACAGCAGTCCCTACCTTATGGCAGATGCCTGAAAAGTTACGGGGGAATGAATAACGACAAAGGTGAGGGTGATGACAACGATAATATGACCATCATCTGAGAACAAGCCACGTACCAGGCACTGCCGAAAGCACTTTATACACCTTAGCTGCTTAATACTCATAATGACCCTGTGGGGTTTACAGATGAGAAACCAAGGCCCAGCCAGGAAAGGCCTAAGATTCACCAGCTCATAGAAGCTGTAGGTAGCACTTGACCTCAGCTAGTTCGGTCTGAGTTCTGCATTCTTAGCCACAATCCACATAACAAAGAACTGGTCTGTGCTTAATTGGCCATAGACGAAGGGCCTGGCCAAAGTACGCTCCCCCCAGCCCTTCCAAGTGACCTGGCCATCTCCTGGAGAGGTCACTGCGTTAGCACTAAGAATTCCTTCCACTGGCATCAAAGGTGGGACCTCATTCTAATTATCTTTCTTCTGGGTGAACTTGCACCGTCTTGGGAGAAGACCTGGGGATGCTGCTGCCACTTTCTTACACAACTTTACACCTGGCCAGTATGGCCCCAGGGCCCAAGGCCCTTAGCAGCAGACAAACAGAGCAGCAGCGGAAATGCAGGCCTCTCCAGCCTGTGCCAGTCTTTCTGCCGTGAGGACCCTCCAGGCAGCTGGAAGCGGCCTTAGCCCTAGGAAATGCTATCATTGTGCTCTTGCTTTTTGTGCTGCTGATGCTAACTATCCTTGCAGCTGAACCAAGGGATGCAGGTGCTGTATTCAAACCCACAGCCGGAGGCAAGCCAAAGTTTTCAACGCAAGAGTTAACCCACACCAGTGCCTCTGGGGATAGACACTGGACTTCCCGCAAGCAACCAGGCTGGGGTTTGGCTTGCTGATATTTGGGTACCAAAGCACAGTGCTGACACTGGGCAAAGGACACAGGGGCCCCAGGTTAAAGCTCCAGTGGTGTTTTCTGGAAACTAAGCACTGCCTCTCCCCTTGACCTTCATACTGAGGAACTCGAGGACAAGATTGGTCTCTTGATTAAAATGTCAGTCTCCAGCCCAGCCACCAGCGAGGGTTTTGCCGGATGGCGGCCAGGATGCCACAGCTTGTTGGTAAGCAGCGGCTGAAGGTAGCTGAAGGGAAGAAACAACGGATATCATTCTGTTTACAGGATGTTCTCTGACATACTGAATGCTAGCTGGGTGATTCCCAGGAGGGAGGGAGAAGGCCTCCTTGGTGTGCTGGGACAGAGAGTTACAAATGACTGGCCTCCCATGAGCCTCTCAGGTCTCTTCAACAAATAGAAAGCTAAGTTCTTCCCACAGCTGATATTTCCTGAAGGCTGTGCCCACCTGAGCCAGCTCAGATCTGCTGAGGTGCCCATTTCCATCCGCGTCCAAGTCCTTAAACAGAGACTCCACCAGCAGGCGCTTCTGGGAGGCAGGGTCTGGACTGCGGTAACCCGCTAGGAGTGGCTGCCTGTGGGTCTGCAGTGCCAGAAGGACGCTCTTGAGGCGGGCATAGCCGGCCATGGTGCACCTGTTACCTGGAAGAGAAGAGGGTGCTACAGTGAGACGCCCTTCAGTCCACCATCCATTTCACCCACAGGGGTCACAGAGGGTCACAGCATAGTGAACGGTGCCACGGAGGTGGATGGGACCTGTCTGTCCCCCTGCCGCTAACCCATCCAACACGTATTTATTAAGCACCTACAAGTGAGTCACACGGAGATTACCACGCAGAACGAGAATTCTTTCGGCAGAATTTACAACGGGAGCCCCACAGTGGCTTTAGGAAAGCCGGCCCTGATTCCATGTCGTAATAGCTTGTTTCTGTCTTAATCCTGCCTTACAGGCTGCTTTTGAATACTTGGCCTCACAGATTAGGGAGTGTCAGTTTACAGGACTAATAAGGCCCGTTTCAGGTAATGAAGTTCACTCCCCGATCCGGAGTACTCTCCACAAACACGTGCACACAAGAAACAAAGGGAAGCGCCAGGAAATTGAACCCAGAGCACACAGCCCGTTACTCGGGCCTCTGTCACACGTGTGCTTGCTGAGCGGCATCAGAGCTGCACAGTGCTGAGCACTCGAGGCTTGTAACACACGGTGACACGACGCGGTTCATCCTGCCGGTGACAACCCAGCGGTCTGAACGCCTCACAGGGCACAGCGGGAGCCCGAGGCTGTCACAGAGCGGCTCGGCTCCGCCTGCGCCTGGCTGTGGTGGATCCCAGGGGCTGGGGGCCGGGGTCCTCGCTGCCCACGCCAGGTGAAGGCTGATGGGTCGCTGGGAATGGACAGTCTGGGGCCCGGGCCTCTTTCGTTCGAAGGCCAGTTTAAGGCACCAGGGAACCGCTGAAGGTCAGATCTGTAGAGAGCAGCACTGGAGGAAACGGACTCAGGTTGTGTGAACCTGGGACAAGAGGCCTTAGGGATTTCATCTGAGAAACAGGGGCAAGAGAGCATGCCATGCTGGGCTGTCACACAGAAGAACTAAGATCGCGTCACCAAAGGCTGGCACTGAGCTCATGAGATGTTAGCCGCTGTCGCTGTAGCCACATTAGCCAAAGAGCCACAGATGGAGACACCACAAACAGAGAATCCACACACCAAGGAGCTCCTCCGTGGGAGAGGGTGGCGGGCGGGTCTGGGGCCAGTGGTTCTGTCCCTCCCTCCCTTCTCACTGGATAAGCCCGGGTGGCCCAGATGCCTTCCTTTGTGCCAGTTTGTATTTCTAGATTTTCTTCCAATTTGGGGTCAATTGATTCCCGTCAGAAACAAATGCCTGTTACCATTTCCCCCTGCATGGTTGTCTAGAAAAAAATCAATGGCGGCATTCAATACTGTCCAATGTGTGCGCTCCCCGGGAGTCCCCACGCTGACAAGCATGGTTCGCTCCAGTCCCCTCCCTGGGCTCGCCTTTCTCTTCTGCCTGGCAGGAGATCGATTTCGGGAGTTTGGGCCGCCAGTCGGCACACTCAGTTCTCAGTCCGCTCAGCTGCGCGGGACTGAAGGCGGGGTCTCACCCTGCTGCAAAGCCGACCCTGGCCTTTTCTTCCTCCTGGGTCTGGAAAGGCTCGATTTTGGGAGAGGAATAGTCTGGCCCAAGTCTAGCGTCTGATCCCTCAGGGCGGAAAGGGTGCTCCTGGCAGATGGGCCGGAAGCAGGGACGCGACACAGGTGTGGTGAGGGGGCTGTGGGGTGAGCGGCGGTGGGGAGTCCGGCAGAGGCTCGACGTGGCCCAGCACAGAGGACCCCTGGACACAGAGGCTGGGGGGCTGGCGTAGTTGCCGGTGGATGAGGTGTCAGTAGGACGCTCTCCTGGGAAATGGTGGTCAGCCATGGGAACTCTGAGGACGTGCCACACAGCAGGGTGTGGAGGTCCGGCCAGGGAGGTCAGCGGGCAGCGATGCCTCACCCTCCATGGTCCGTATGGCCTTCCGCACAGGCCTTGGTGGGGCCTAGAGCTCCCTTTGCAGCCTGCAGCCCTGGGCCAGGGGTCTGCAGCCGGATAATGCCTCCAGTACAGTCAGGCTAGGGAAATCATGCGATTCCTGCTGGGGTGGGGATGGGTCCTGTGGCCACTTCCTCAGGCCCTGCCCTCCTGTCACATCCTTAGGGTTCACTGTGACCTCGCAGGCTCCCAGCTTCCCCATGCTGGCAGCTGCCGCGTGTCTTGAAGTCAACCAGAGGGCCGGGTGTGGGTGCCCCAAGTCTCCAGGGTCTGGGCTAGGCCCCTCCGTCTGTTCTTAGCATTTACTGACACTCTGTGCTAGCCACCGGGCAGCAGGCTAAAGACAGAAGGCAGCTTCTGGTTCTGGGCATCATGGGCACCTGCAGAGGGAGGGCCGAGGAGCCAGGGTGAGGGAAGCCCATGACGGCAGATGTTCAGGATGGGACCTGCACAACTGGCACAGGTGGAGGAGAAGGACCAGAAGGAAGGGCAGGGATGGGACCCACAAAAGAAAGCAGCGTAGTGTGGTGGGAGGGCGTCAGTAGGGGGCCGTGTGGAACAAGGAAAGGCGGCTACACTGGGTCACCTGGTCTGCACCGGAAACCCCAGCTCCATGACCCTCTGTGCCTTGACCCCATTGGGAGAGACCGGGTCTGGGAGGACGGCGCTGGGCTCTCTGGGTGAGGACAGGGTCCGCTCTCTGCCTTGGCTTCAGTGCACTTGGCTTGTGCAGGAGGAGGGTCCTCGGATGGGAGGTACCAGAGGCATAGGGACCACAGTGCTCCTTCCTGGTGACCAACATGGGAGACCCTTGGAGCAGATCCCTGAACCAGTGCCCAGGGCTCACTGCAGGGGCTTCTTTGGCCCAGCCTGGGGCCAGAGATTGGGACTATAGATCAGCGTCCACACTGACAGATTCAGAGGAGCATGGCTTTTCCAGAGAGAAGGCAGATAATTCTTCATAAGAATCTGAAGTCTTCGTGTTGAGTAAGGCTCACTGGGACCCTCCTCGGCAGAGCAGGATCGACGGTTTGTACTACAGAGGTTTCGACTGTGGTACCTCAGGGCTTAGTTCTGGGAGGTGTGTTGATTACCCAGACCAACAAGCACTGAACATATCAGTGTGGCTGGAAAGGCCAGCAAATCACAAGGCAACTGATGGTGACAAGGCTCCCTTGCACGCTGAGTACCTAGCAAAGGACAGGTACTGGGATGATATTCAAAATCTGCCAAGTTTCAAAGCAGTTGAGCACCAAGGTGACACTGTACTAATGTGCTAGGAAAGTCACTTAAGAGTTTCCTGTGTGTGTTGGTGGTTTTACGTAAGGAACCTTTGTGTTACCAAAATACAGAGATCTTTTCCTTTTGCCTTTCTGAGGACCTGGGCTTGGATTCCCCTGAATATCCTAACAGGAGAATCCAGGGGACAAGCAGCCTGTGGGGAGATGAATCCCAGGAAGTTCTGGGAGTACAGGAAGTGTGGTGGGCAAGGGAGAGAAGTCCACAAAGGCTACGTCACAAGCGCTCTCCACTGCGTCCAGGGCTCACTGGGGACCCCAGAAAGTGTCCAAAACACAGCTTGCAATTGTGCCACTGGGAGGGGAGGGAACTGGGGTATTTATTTGTACCCACTTCCATCCCTAGCAGTTGAGGGCTGCTGTGTGTGTGTGTGGGGGGATTGGCTGACCCCAGCCAGCACCCCTGAGCCCCTCATGGAAGGACCTGAGCACATTTTTGAGGCCAGAAATACGATGCAGGCCCCTGAGACAGGTTGGCTCTAGGAAAGGATATGGGGAATTATCTACCTGAGCTGCATGTGACCTCTGGGGTAGATTGTGGGGCCCGGGTGGGGTGCTACCGGTGTCTGCACCTCACATCTCTTAAGGGACTGCAGGCTCTGGACTGCTGAGTGAGCTAACTAGCAGTCACAGCTGGGGGACCAGGGAAGACTGTCTCATATGGGCGGGGCCCCTGTAACGTCCTTACCTGGGGCTTGGGGACAAACAGACCTCGTCCGGTAGCTACAGCTACCTGACACCATCACCGCTGAAAACAACAAAGCCGGGCCGAGCACTGCCACGCGGTCAGGAGACCGTGTGACCTCTGCTCTGATGAGGTCCCACGGCCCTCGTCCCCTCACAGGGTCAAGACACAAAGGAAATGTGGGAGGACACCGCAAGCCTGTGTGTGCAGCCAGGCCTGAGCTCTCCACTGGAGGAGACGGGGTCTGAGTGAGCAGAGGTGCGGCTCTTCTGTCTTTGTGGCCTGGGACATGGTGACCACGAACAGTGTTCACAGAGCCACAGAAGAGCAAAGACGGCTTGGGTTTTCGTTCACGGCTCAGGGCTATTCCCACTCCAGGCCCTCTCAGGTCAGGAGCCTGGGAGCCCTGCCTGGCCTCACCGCCACTGTCCAGCTGGCCCGGGTGCCTTCCAAGCAGCAGGACCTGCCTGGCTCTGGCCTCGGGCTCCTACCAGCACATGTGTGGAGAGCCTCCCCGACCAGGCCTGCTTTGGCAGATAAAATATTGATCAGCCTGCTGAGAAGCCCCGAGTGTGATCTTATTTTCATGTCAGAACTTGGTAATGAACTACATTTATCAAGCCTGTTCTCCATGAGAAAGGTCAGTCGCAGATCTGGCTAAGTTGTTATGACACCTCATTAATCTGGTTCCCTCAGTAACTGTCCCTCTGTGAAGATTCTAATGCTCTTCCATTCCGGCCACAGTCCTTCCACGCTGAGGGAGGCGACTACGGCGCTCAGGCAGGCCCAGCCTCATTTAATTTCTGAGCCAAGGGAGCCAGGAAGCAGGGAGCTGCCTTGAAGGAAGGGTCCATCAAAGGACCTCTTTCTGCTGCAGAACAGAGTGGGGCAGGGAGACGTTGGGAATGATCATCAGCTGCTCACATCCCAGCATGGCCACGCCTCCAAGGGGCATCTTCATTTCGCACAGGCGAAGGCCCAGGCCGGGGCCGGGTGGGGCTGGAGGACTCCCGGCTCAGGGAAGCTGTGTGAAGCCTCCATGAGGACAGGACGACAGGCCGTGGGAGGCCCAGTTCTACGCCAGAGTGACACAGGCACCTGCGTGGT